TGTGCCCAGATTTGGGCCTTATTTGTCTTTGGCTCAAGTAGAGGGGAAGGAAAAAGCCACGGGCAGAGGAGGGGCTCTTCTAAACCAAGATGCTCCTTAGGATATTGAAAATCTCTCTGGATCAGTTCTCAGACCTGCACAGCTCAACCTGGGAGGCAGCCGTGCCAAATGTACTCTCACTACAGAGAGAGGCCCTGGGTGGAATGATCCTGGGCTGCCTTCACATCCCACGTTGCATGGATGCTGAGCTAAGAGCCATGGGGCTTTCCCCGGGCCTGCCGTGGTGGGGTGGAAGGGATTTCAGGGCTGAGACTGGAATTGGTGGAGGTCTTTGGGGGCAGAGGACCACCAGGATGGCAGGCTGAGTGGAGGATGGGCCAGGGCTGAGGGGTCTAAAGTAGTGAGGACTGAGTTAATTTGGGGGGTATCGGGGTAAGCCAGTATGTCACCCAAGCAGTGTCCAAACCAAGAAAGACCAGATAATAGTTTACACTAGTTATAGAATTCAGCCGTGAATGCCAGCGAAGCAAGCAGCCACTCACACCCCCAGACATCTAGGGAGTGTCCACAGGAGAGAAGCTGGAGTAGATTGAAGCTATAGGAGAGCCGAAGGACTTTTAGCTAAGAGGTACTGACACTTCCTAAAACATTGCGTGCATCATCAGAGTGGATTTCTTTTGATTTATTTATTATTTATTTTTATAAAGATGAGGTCTCACTATGTTGCCCAGTCTGGTCTTGAACTCCTGGTCTTACGCAATCCTCCTGCCTCAGTCTCCCAACGTGCTGGGATTATAGGCACGAGCCACTGTGCCTGGTCAGATTTAGTTTTAAACTGATTTGGTCATTTGGTTAAAATGTTTTAAAGTATAAGAATCATGGGAAGGAGATTTCTTATGATTACTCATAAACAAAATAAAAAATTCTGTATTCTCTGTGTATAGGTGAAAGCTTGCAACCCCACTGTGATAGATACATCCAGGCAAATACATTGAGGATCATGTCCATATTGATTATTCAGTTTTCACTCTGAGTTGTATTTTTATTCCCCCAGTTATTTGCTTTGCTAGCTTCCTGAAGGTGGTAGCTGTCTATACTGCAGACAGAAGTTGCGGCAAGGGGCCATCGGATTGTCACATGAACAGGCCAAATAATTACAATATAATTACAAATAATTACAATGAGTAGTTTGCTGACTACTCACGGGCCTCAGCTGCTTCATGTATGTAGCAATCCAAGTAGTTCAAATGTCTTATTTATTTAATTTATTTTGAGAAGCCTTTCAAAGTTGAGTTATAATTCATGCATCATGCAATTCACTCTTTCAAAGTGAACAATTCAGTAGTTTTTAGTATATTCACAAAATTGTGCAATCATCACCACTATCTAATTTAAGAACATTTTTGTCTCCTCAAAAAGAAACCCTGTAACTCAGGTGTTCCCAACCCATGGGCTGTGGACTGGTACCAGTTTATGGCCTGTTAGGAACTGGGCCACACAGCAGGAGTTGAGTGGTGACAAGCAAGTATTACCTCCTGAGCTCTGCCTCCTGTCACATCAGCAGCAGCATTACATTCTCATGGGGGCTCAACCCTATTTGAACTATGCATGCGAGGAATCTCGGTCGTACACTCCTTATGATAATCTAACAAATGCCTGATGGCCTGAGGTGGAACAGTTTCATCCCCAAACCATGTCCTCCCCGTCCCTCACCTCTGTCCCTTGGAGAAACTGTCTTCCATGAAATGGGTCCCTGGTGTCAAAAAGGTTGTGGAAAAAACTGGTCCCTGGTGACAAAAAGGTTGCTGTAGCCATCAGCAGTAACTCCTCATTCCCCTCATTTCCTAGTCCCTACCACCACTAATCTACTTTCTATCTCTGAAGATTTGCCTATTCTGGACTTTTCATCTAAATGGAATCATGTTTGTTGGTGTCTGGCTTGTTTTGGCTAGCATAATGTCTTCCAGGTTCCTTCACATTATGGCTTACATCACAATTATATTCCTTTTTATGGCTAATGAATATTCCATTATATGGATATACCACATTTTGTTTATCCATTCATCAATCATCAGACAATTGAGTTGTTTTCACTTTTATTTGGCTATTATGAATAATGCTGCTATGAACATTGGTGTGCAAGATTTTGTGCAGACATGAAGTTTCAGTTTTCTGGGTATACACGCAGTAGTGGAAATGCTGGGTCATACATCTATGTTTAATGTTTTGAGGAGCCACCAACCTATTTTTCAAAGTTGCTGTGCGATTTGACATTCTCACTAATGGTATACAGGGGTTCGAATTTCTCCACGTCCTTGCCAACACTTGTCATTGTCCATCTTTTTGATGACAACCATCCTATCAGGTGTGAAGTCGTATTTTATGTTAGTTATCTTTTTTTGGTTTCCAATAATTAACTTTTTGGGAGGTTTGCAGACACCTTGGTAAGGTGCAGGTCTTCACTAATTCCCTCTCTGGTTACTTGGGTAATATTTGTGCCCTGTCACACTCTGTATGACAGATGTGTGACCAAACCTTACTCTGTTAATAACTTTACTTTTTAATTGAACTTTTACCCGTCACAGGCTGAGGGACAGGTTATATAGCTGATTCTGAGTTAATTATAACTGCCATTATTTTTTTATTTGCAGTGCCTGAGCAAGCAGTAAAACAGCAAGTTAAGTCACATTTGCAATGGGACCGTGACTCAATTAGTGTTTTTGAATAATAGGCAATAGTAATTAAAGTCATGGCAATTGCAGTAGCAGTATTATGTGGTAGCCTGGCTTCAGCAAAGGCTATTTTACAACATGTCCGGAGAGAAGGCAGAAGGGAGACAGAACATGCTAGGTGGAAGCCCTCTCCTTCTTGTCCCTTGCAAACTGGGAATGGAAGTTCTTGAGAATATCTTCCACAACTTTTCAACATCACTTTATCAGCTTCTATGTCAGAAGCTCATCATTCAACGTAAAACTCATAGGTCCTGCAAGGTAATATTTCTAGTCGAGTTTACCTTGTCTGTGAAAAGCCAGACTCCTGAGACTGAATGCCATATGCAAACATTGACATGCCCTTGGACAACAGAATAGGCAGGGGAAAATTAACAGCCCTTTCGTTATTGGCTTTGTAAACCCAAACCTATAAAATTTCTTCCAGTCAGGGAGTGAATATGCCCATCTAAAGGATAAGAAGACTGAGGCACAGTGTGGTCATGGAACTAGGGTATGATCCTTCCAAGAGGGGCCTGGGTGAGCATCTGGTTCTCATTTTAGATTTCAGCTGCTCATATCACCACCTCTCCCAAACTGCAAGTACCAAAACTGTTGCCTGCAGCCTCATATTTTATGCTGATAATAACAAAATTTCTTTGGAGAGTAAAGAAAATTTTAATACAAAAGATGAGACATTATGACCGTCAGGCTCAAGAAGGGCTACAAAAGAGAGGGAACTCAGATTAGTGTTCTAAGTGCTGTTAAAATGGACATCAAACCATCCTTGAAAGTGAGGAGAGGTTCAGAGACAGACCGATTATGTCTAAAGACCGTCCCCTTGCTCCTACCCCAACCTCCTCACAATTCTAGTTGCCCAGAAGCCCAGTCCTTGTCCCAGCTCAGGGCAATAGAGTGGTTTGTCTAAGCATGCTTCTCTGGGCCACTTATGGATACTTCCTCTCCAGTTTGCAATAATTCTGTGTGGAACCTCAAGGTCCACAGAAAGGCCCAATGGTGGTCACTTTGCCATGACATCAGTGAAACTTACATACAAGGTGTTGCAGGTTGGGTCCATAGGAAGCACAGGAAGAATAGCTTGCGGGAAGTTGTTGAGGAATGCTCTCAGAATGGACACTGACAGGGAAAGGGCAGGAAACAGGACTGAAGGAAGAGGGTAAGGGTGAGTAATAGTGTGAGTAAAGACATAGAGACAGGAATAAAATCAATCTGTTTGATCACGGTGTAGGATGACGTCAGAGCAACAGGATAAAAGCCTGCAAAAGGATATTGAGGCAAGATAGTTGGAGATGATATCAAGAGCCAGGGTAAAGTTCTGATCCAATAAAGAATGCTGAACAAGAGAGGAATCTAAATGCCAAGAGTGAACAGGAATGTTGAAGCCATGGGAAACTCTAAGGAGGAAGACCTGAGGAGATATAGGTCAGAAAAAGGCAAGCTCTTTGGATTAGCTCCAAATGAGAGATGGAAGTTGGGAGGTTAAGGGTTAGTCAGATCAGATATTTCTAAATAAATATGCATTGTGCACTTATCATTCCTTTATATCTTCCTGGGGTTTAAAAAGATTATTCTTCTTTTGACTTTTAGGACTCCTACTTTTCAATTTAAGATTAGAAATTTTTCAGGTTGGAACTGATGAAACTCAAAACATGCCACCCCCAAATATGGCACCTTAGCATATTAATTATTTTTTTGTTGTTGAGACAGGTCTAACTCTGTCACTTAGGATGCGGAGCACAATCACAGCTCACTGCAGCCTCAATCTCCAGGGCTTAGATAATCCTCCCACCTCAGCCTCCCAAGTAGCTAGGACTACAAGTGTGCACCAGCAAACCTGGCTAGCTTTAATTTTTTTTGTTTGTTTGGTTTTTTGTTTTTTGTAGAAATGGTGCCTTGCTATGTCTCCCAGGTGGTCTCAAACTCCTGGGCTCAAGCAATCCTCCCACTTCAGCCAAAGTGTTGGCATCACAGGCATGAGTCATTGCACCCAGCTCACATATTGAATATTTTAAACTCATGTAATTTGAGAACATGGCAGACGCAGGAAGACTGGAGTAAAACAGATTATAAGACACTCCTGTGAGTGGTGCCTTCCCTATGCCCAGGGAGAAGGAACATCCTGTCTCCAAAGACAAGGAGACACAGAAGAATCGGAGCAAACAGGTCTTGCTAAGTTCCCCCAGTTTATTACTGTTAGCTTATACTCCTTGCCCTATTCTATTTCTCCATGACTATCCATTCTTCATCAAACCTACTGTGAAAAAGTACTTAGGTTTAGCTGATTCTTTAGGGCTTCATTTCCTTATAAAGGCTCCTGTGTTATGAAGATTAATTTGTATGCTTGTCTCTTGTTCGTCTGTCTTTTGTTACAAGGGCCCAGCCAATGAACCTAAGATGAGTAGAGGAAAAGGTATTTTTCCTTCCATAAAGAGCGATCCTATAATTACTGAAAGAAAGGTCATGAATGCCCTGCACTGTGGGCTGGAAGGGGAGAGGATGAAGTGAATTTTCAAACATTTTCCTTGAAGGCAGAAAAATTTCACTGGCTCCTTATAAAGAATTAACAATCCTCAGTGTTCTCTTAGAGACCCCACTCTCTTCCACTGTAACAGCAAATTTTTATTTATTTGGTAGGGCAGCCATAACAAAATACCACAGAATGGGAGGCTTAAATAACAAAAGTTAATTTTCTTACAGTTCTGGAGGTCAGAAGTTCAAGATCAAGGTATCCATAGGGTGGTTTCTGCTGAGGATTGTAGACGGCTGCCTCCTCACATGGCCTTTTGTCTGCGTGTGTGGGGGGAAGGGGGGGAGGGAGAGAAACAGAGAGAGAGAGAGAGAGAGAGAAAGAAAGAAAGAGAGAGAGAGATCTGGGGTTTCTTCCTCTTTTTCTGAGGACCCCAGTCCTATTGGATTAGGGCTTCACGCTAATGACCTCATTTAATCTCCTTAAAGGCCCTATCTTCAAATATAATCTCATTAGAGGTTAGGACTTCAACGTATGAATTTGTGAGGAGACACAATTCAGTCTGTAACAACAAATAACTCAATTCATGAGCCAGACATCTCTGATCATCTCAGAACCAGCCCTTGCTTGTTCTAAGCTTTCTAAGTCTTTCTAATTGACCATCACCATTATTTATTGCCCCTAAATCATTGTGTCAGAGCAAAGGTGATTCTTACCTTAGTAGTCCTTTATATTTTCTGAGGAAACAAAATGGTAGAAGAATTTCCTTACCATCCTCACTTTTATGGTACTCAGGGCTTAAATAAAGTTCATTATCACGAACGAAGAGGACTATAAACTATTTTGATTGGTCATGTTTATAAACTTTTGATCATACAACCCTGATGTATGTATTTATAAGTTTATAAATTATATACACACACATATGCATATATATAGTGTGTATCTCTCTTCCTCCATACACACATACACACACACACACACATAAATGGATGAAAAGAGTCAAACTCTGTAAAATATTTGAAAAGATTTATTCTGAGCCAAACATGAGTGACTATGGCCAATAACAAAGACCTCAGAAGGTCCTGGTAACATGTGCCCCTGGTGGTTGGGATGCAGCTTGGTTTCATGCATTTTAGGGGGTCATGAAACATCAATGAAATACATTTGAGAAATACATTGCTGTCCAGAAAGGCATAATGCAGAGTGGGGGTGGGGTGTAGTGTTTCTAAGCTATAGGTAAATTTAAACTTTTTTCTAGTTGACAATTAGTTGAGCTTGTCTAAAGATCTAGGATCAATAGAAAGGAAATGTTCAGATTGTGGAGACCAAAGTTCTTTTGAAGTCTCATAGTGGCTGTCCTTAGAGACAATAGATGACAAATGTTTCTTATTCAGACCTTTGAAAGGTACTAGACTCTCAGTTAATCTCTACAGTATTGGGAGGGCCTGGAAGAAAAAGATCTAGCTATATTAATAGAGATTCTTTACAGATGCATTTTTCCCCACAAAGGACAGCTTTGCAGGGCCATTTCAAAATATGGCAAAGAAACATGTTTGGGGGTAAAATATTTTGGTTTTCTTCCTCGTCATGTAATGTTATGCCAGTCAGATTGGAAAGTAAGTCACAATATATAGGGTTAAATAAAACTCACCTGATGAGAATTTGTGGTTTGTGGGGCATGACTCCCCACACCCCTTAGATATTTGAACAAGATAAGAAAAAGTCATATCTTAGTCCTTGGACTGTGTGGGTCCACTTATATTCACATATTTTTAAAACCAAATGCTGATTGAAAATACATTATTTAAAATGCTTGTATATAGAGATCTGGCTCTTCATGTAGGAGGAGTTCCAGTCTGGAGGGCTGACTGCTGGACTTGAGTGTGCACAGATTTTGACATATGCTGGGGACTTGAAATTGTAACAGTTAAAGAAAGAGGAAAGAAACACAAAACTCAACAGTCAAAGATGGGTTTATTTTGGAGAATAAACCTGAGAGGGGCTTCTGGCTGATTTTGGTCAGGAGTACTCTCTCTTACAGACTGAGTATTTATTGGTGAGACAGCTTATCAGAAGCTTGGAATGTTTCTGTGTGTGGGAGAAGTTTACGGAGGGGTTGGAATGTCTCCGGCTGGAGGGGAGGTTATCTTGGGGCTGGCATGTCTCTTGTCAGGGAGAGGTTTACCTTATGGTTGGAATATTTCTGGTCAGAGGCGTTGTTTGTGGTTTATGGTCATGCGGACTTTAGCCATTAGGCTGATGCCCTTTGGATTTAGGCGGTTTTTTATCAAGGGGAATTTTAGAATGGCGGTGCTTGTCCAAGATGGCAATGCCCCTGCTCTGTCAATTCAGACCCTATATTATAGAAAGGATGAGGAGTGGCATGTTCTTTCTGGCTACTTCCTGCTGACAAGGGGATAGAGAGTTTTCTGGTCTCAGATTGCCTGCAGGGAAGTAATGCCATCTGTAGATGTTTTTGGGTAGTTGTCTGTGAAATGACCATGATCCTGTCAGTTAAAAATCTTTGAAAAAGGTTAATTAGGCAGGGTAAGAACATTAGTCCCAGCCACATTATTAGGAGAGGGCCCAGGAATGGGATGACCCATGCTATGATTTTGTTCCCAAACCAAGATTCTATTTGGTTGTTTTGGTATTCCCTTAGATTTTTAGCCCTTTCTTTAAGTTTTTCAGCAGCATCTCTTACTAGGCCTGATTGGTTGATATAGAAACAACATTCCTCATCCAATAAGAGGCATAGGCACATGATTGGAAAGGCCCATGTGTTATTTTCTGTTATAACCATTATTCCTGCGATGAGGATAATAATTAAGCAAAATGCTACAGTAACTGAGATTCTCTGTCTGATATTCTACCCTTAGGGTGCTAGAGTATATAGTCCTACTGCAAATAGTAGACTGAGTAAAGCAATTTCCACAAGGGTGGTGTAGTAAATAATTTCCATTAGAAGTTTTAATATTTGGCTTAAAAGGAGAGGTAGCAATGACAAAAGTAGGGGTGAAACTGAGTAAGATGAGTTACTCACTTAGTTACTTATTTTTTATGATTTTCAGCTTAAGATTTCCTATTTCTTTACATTGATATTTAGAATGTTCATTTGGGGTGTCAGAGGTTACTTCCTCAGCTTTCCAGGCTTTGACTTGAGTGCAATGTATCCAGGAGTTGATTCCTATAACAGATACCATCTCAATTACCCTCAGTGCCATGGACTCACTAGACGTGGGGGTGAAGGATTCTGGGCACTCTCAGTTATTAGTTGTCAGCACCAGCAGTGAAGAGATTTCCTCCTGTGATGGTCAGGGGGCTTAGAGGCAGCGCCTGCTGAAACAGTTAGTTTTCAGTTCATAGGGCTTTAGGAAAGCACAGCTTATTTTGGAAACTTGTAGCCAGAAGAAAATAGAATTTAATTTAAACTGTAGAAAATAATAAACATTGAAAAACATTAGGCAACACTAGAATTTAACAACACTTGTGCTATAGTTTTTGAGACATAATTTTCTCTCTCCAGTTTCCCATTTTAATTAAAAGACAAATCATGATAGGACTGGTTTGCTTTATTATACTTGGTTTAATTATTTGCATACAGTACAGCAAGAATAATTATTTGTTACATAGGCCTTTTAAACTGGCTTTGATGGAACTTTGTTCTGTAGAAGGAATCTGAGATAAGACCTTTTTAAAGCCAAGCTCAGACATGGATTTGTACCATCAAATACCTATGAGTTGGGTGAATTTCTCTCCTCTTGAGGTTCCAAGATAACTTGGGGTTCCTGGCCTGTTCAGAAAGTGACATCGTTTACTTACCACAGATCAGAAATGCTGTACAGGGACTGTGTACACAGAATATGAGGCCAGTTTCCGGGGGCTTTATTGGCTTCATAAGGCAAGTTTGGTTCCTTAAAGGAAGCACACCATTCCAGTCAAAGCCTTGGTAAAAATAACCAGTTTTTCCAATTGTGGCCTGTTACAAAAGAAAACAGATTCTTATTGTACTTATGCAAATAACTATGTTGCCATAACTTAAGAATACTCACAGTTTCCAATTTCCAGAGAAAATCAGGTAGAGAGAAACAAGTATGCTCCAAATTTTGTTCATGGGAGTATACTAAATTGTTAAAAGCTATCAATAGCTCAAAAGAAAAGTTTCTTTGGTTTTGAAAAGCAAAACAAATGATTAGCTATATTTTAAGCTAAATGCCAAAAAGATCACTCCAGTCTCCTGTTAGTTCACTTCATGCAGTTAATTCCTGTCCTGCTTGATATTAATGAACATTTTAGCTCTTCAAGACTCCTGAACATTCTTCTCTATTCCGATGTCACAATCGCCAAAGTTAACAGAAATCTGCATCCAAGAGCACTTGTAAGAGCTTTATAGCTGATTATAAAACGACCTTTTAAAGAGGACCAAAACTTGACAACAATTGTTTATGGATGACAAAAAGTTTTAGGGTAGCCATAAAGTCACAATTGACAAGGATATCTGTTACCTTTGTGGCACACAGTAATTTAAACATAACAAGTATAATTATTACTGATAACATATACTAAGATATATCAGAATTATAGGAGTCTCCATCTCCTATCACTTTGAAACACATACCAAAAATATATTTATACAAATATAGCCCAAAAAACACCATTTTATATTTGACAATGTTTCCTATTATGACTTTATACCAAATAAGCCAAACTTTACCTTTATATTAGTGGGCTATTAATGTTAAATACAATTTTAATAAAACCTTGTAGACACATTTACCCAATTTTAATATTGGACCGTTAAGGTAAGACATTTATGAACCCTTTTTAACGCTTTATAACTTTTGTTAAAGAGCAGGTTAGTGCTTTAAGTGAAATCCGTTTTGCTTTTACTTTAATGTTCAATTTACAGAAAAACTAGATGATACCCCTTCAACTTTAGCCGATACATTTACACACAGCATTTCCTTTACAATTAACCTAAAACTTTCTTAAACCTTCATTTTTATTTTATTCAACTTAGAACAATTCTTTAACCTTTTAATCTAGGTAAAAATCCACGTTCTCGTGCCTCCTTGTATAATACTTTGCCAAAAGTATACGCAAACTGTTTTCTCAATAGTCTTACATGCATGTTACATTGTTAACTTTTAGCAACCTTTAGTTTTGTTGGTAAGTTTGGGATTTTAATTATGTACTAGGTGTAGAGCCTAGGACCTTGACAGAAGTGCAGGTAAGGTCCGACTCATTCCAGCATTTAACTCCATGTGTTCTAGGTCTCACCTAGCTGCAAACCAGCCAAGTTGTAGAGCTAACAGTTATAGTGGCATTTTATAAAGCATTCAGGAAGCCTAATCACTTTTAAATTGTGTAACATTTCTTGCATAAATTCCCTTTTGTAAAATGTTTCCTGATTTACACAGACAATTCCTGACATGCCTCAACTTTCTGACTTGTAAATATCCCTCTCTTTAAACAACCAGTTAATTTACTTTAGGGTAAGAATTTACCATATAAGATTCTTTTCATATAAATTCTCTTTTTTTATTTTAAAGATAGCAGTCCTTTCCCCAAACAAGCTTCCTTCATGTCTATGGGCTAGGCTGCCTAAGGACACAAGATTAGAAGTTAGAGTATTTCACTAAATAGTTCAAGATGTAGCTATCTTTACTAAACCAATATTAATGTTTCATTTATTTAAAAATTACATAAGCAAAGATTATTCTGTTTGGGTTGAGTTATAGTTTTGTAGCCTCTATGCCAAATTTTGACAATTTATAGTATTTGGCAGAGGTAAGTATGAAATTGCTTGATCAATAAATGCAAACAAAAACTGTATGCTGGCAACTCTTAAGACATTTCTAATCTTACAGTACCAGTAAGTTTTAAAGATTAAAGTCACGTGAACTGAAAGGTTTCACAGCTTTTACTTTTCCCTTAAAAATATTTGGTTTAAGCACTTATTTTTCTTAGGCCAATTAATTAGAGCCTTTTTAATAGACACTGCACACATAACGCATATATAGCCACACAGACACCCAGAAGAAGATCCAGTAGTTATAAGATTGTTTTCTTCAAATTTCCCAATTGGATTATTGGCCTTCGGATGAGACCCTTTGAGAACAGGGCTAGGAAAACAGTTTCCAGGGCCTAATAAACAAGTATAACTGGAAGACAAAGGCAGATTTGGGGAGGTACTTATCCACCTCCAATTCCAGGGATTCCATGAGGAAAACAGATTTTTCCCAAAATGGGATTTGTGGTGCCTTTTCTGTTTTCCCAAGGAGTTCCAGGCCACCAGAAGTCATTTTCGGGTTCTTCATACACTCACCAAGAGTGGCAAGGCAGAGTGGAGAAAAGTAATTGAGTTGACCGGGAAAACCTTTTCCAAGAAAACATGATTTATGAAGAGAAAAACCTAAAGGCCTTTGAATATACTCATAGCTTCAATCTGCAACAAATCAGACATGGAGAAAGGGACATGAACATGAGCAAAGCCTTCAACCCCAGCTGCTTCCCAGAGAGGGAGAATGGCAGAGGTGGTTTGAGCAGTTTTTAAATGGGTAACAGATGGAGAAGTAGGAGTGGAGTTTGGGGCTGAAGGCTTGGGGGCAGGAGGGGCCACCAGGGTGGAGGGTTCAGATGGACGAGGAGAGGATGCAGAGGGGTGAGAATACAGAGGGGGGTCATGTGCAGGATCAAAAGGAGTTTTTTTTTTTTGTTTTTTTTGTTTTTTTTGTTTTTTTTGAGACAGAGTCTCGCTCTGTCACCCAGGCTGGAGTGCAGTGGCCGGATCTCAGCTCACTACAAGCTCCGCCTCCCGGGTTCGCCATTCTCCTGCCTCAGCCTCCGAGTAGCTGGACACAGCGCCTGCCACCGCCCGGCTAGTTTTTGTATTTTAGTAGAGGGGTTTCACTGTGTCTCGATCTCCTGACCTTGTGATCCGCCCGCTCGGCCTCCAGTGCTGGATTACAGGCTGAGGCCCTTTTGGAGGAGGGAGAGACCCAGGGAGGGTTTTCATTAAGAAGAAAGATTTCATGAGGGGTGCAAGCTTGACACAGAGAAGGCTGGGATCTAAGGTAGAAGTAGAAGAAAGCCTGAATATAGAAAACCTCTTGCCATTTGCCATTCCTGGTTATAAAGTTGTTAAGGTTCCTGAGAATTTGAAAGTCAAAGGTGCCATTTTTGCGCCATCAGCTGACATTATCTAATTTGTATTGGGGCCAGGTCATATTCCAATAAAAAACTAAATGCCCAAGCCAAACTTGCAAGGTTGTGAAGGGACAGCCCCGTGGGAAGGATGTAGGAATGTGGGATTGTTTGGCACCTATGTGGACTGGTGAGAAGAAGCTGAGGGTGTCTGTTTTTGTTCTAGGCATCCCCAGACAAAGGACAGAGACCTGGAATCCCCTTTCTATAAAGGACACTCAAACTAAGAAGGAACTGGGCATTCCCAAGATTTTCTCTAGCTTAGCCCCATTGGTCCTCTGAGGACCAGGGCAGCAGAACTTATTTTTCCCAGGTACCACTAGAAAGCCAGGGGAGGGCAGATCTTACCAGTCAGCTGGATTAGTGTCTGATGTTGGATGTTCTGGCTGGAACTGGCAAAGGGCCTCTAGGACTGGAGCCACATGAGGGAGGGAGGGAGGGAGAGAGAGTGAGTGAGTGAGCGCTAGAAGAGTGAGAGAGAGAGAAAAGAGAGGATGAGGGAGGAGGAAGGGAGAGAGTGAAATACCTGTTGTGGGTGGTCAGAGGTGGATTGCTGAGACCTGAGGGTTTTGAGGGCTCACTGGAGAGTAACCCCAGCCCGAGTCTCGCAGTCCCCTTCAGGTTAGTTGTCCTCCTCATACAAATTGCTCGAAAAGTGAAGTGAGAGCCAAGACAGGGTGGGTGACCAGAGACTCTCAGGATCCAGCAGGATGAGCAGCTGCTGTCCACTGCTTCCAGGGTTGCAAGAAGCCTCTACCCCCAACACCCATCCCGGGTTTCGGCACCCAATGTAAGAGTTAAAGAAAGAGGAAAGAAACACAAAAAGCGGCTCAACAGTCAAAGACAGGTGTATTTTGGAGAATAAACTTGAGAGGGGCTTCTGGCCAATTTTGGTCAGGAACACTCTCTCTTACAATCTAAGAGTATTTACTGGGGAGAGAGCTTTCCGGCTGGCGGGGAGGTTACCTTGGGGCTGGCATGTCTCTGGTTGGGGAGGGGTTTATCTTATGGCTGGAATGTTTCTGGTTGGAGATGTTATTTGTGGTTTATGGTCATGCTGACCTTAGTCATTAGGCTGATGCCCTTTGGATTTAGGCGGTTTTTAATCAAGTGGAACTTTAGAATGGTGGTGCTTGTCCAAGATGGTGATGCTCTTGCTCTGTCAGAAACCAATCCTTCAAGAATATTAAAGGACCACTGTATATCATGTAGTCTTGCTAGAATGTCATATTGCATTGTAAAATAGACATAAAATACTAAAAAGTAAAGAAAATGCAAGTAAAGGTTCTGGCTGCTATTGTCTATAGAGCACAGGCTTATAGGGCACCTGGAGTGAGGGTTCTGGATCCCAGGCACGAGGATTGTTAAAATGAGTCTTCAGAAGCAAACCTCTGGTGACTCTTAAAGCAAATCATGGGTCAGCCAACTGTGGTAAAATTAAATTCAGAGTGGATTATCGAGGTGTCCTGGCTTGCCTGGATGGCTACATGAATACAGCCCTGGAGCCGGCAGAAGAGTATATAATGGACAACTGAAGAATAAGCATGGGGCTGCAATTAGCCGCAGAAACCATGTGTTCTACATTGGTGCACAGAAGAAAAGGATGTGATGACACCAAGAGAACAATGCTTTTCATATATGGATTTAGTTTTTATGGAACCTTTTTCCCTTTTTTGCTTCTTTTGTGATATAATTTGTCCAGGTTTTTAAAATAGTTGGTGAGTTTTCGCTGACATGTAAGATAAATGTATACAACTGAGGATTGAATTATGAAGTATTCTTTCACATTTAAGTTTCCCTCATTTTCTTTTACCTTGTGCCAATGTACAGAATGCTAAAATAATTTTTTATAGAAAGACAAACTAAAAGTAAAAATAAATGTAACTTAAAAATAAAGCAAGGCCAGGAGTGGTGGCTCATGACTGTAATCTCAGCACTTTGGGAAGCTGAGGCAGGCAGATGACTTGAGCCCAGGAGTTCGAGATCACATGGGCAACATGGCAAAACCCCATTGCTACAAAAAATGCAAAAATTATCCAGGCATGCTGAAGTGCGCTTGTAGTCTCAGTTACTCGGGAGGCTGAGGTGGGAGGATCACCTGGGC